GTGTGAAAGATAATGGTGCAAAAGCTTCATTGGTTGCCATACAGGGATTTATTAATGCTTACTAATTAGGAAAGCCCTGTAGGTGTGTCAGTTTGCCAGCTATCTGGTCTCTTGGAAAAGGATTCCCATCTTGATTTCTCTTCCAGGTGTTCAAGGAAGTGACAGAAGAAAAGGAATGTATTCTTCACCTCTCTGAAACTTTCATTGCCCAAGAAAATCAAAAGAAACTGGAGAATTTCATTCATCAATTTATCTACTAGAACCTTTAATAGGTCTTCCTTTAACAGGCAGAAGCTGTGGCTTCAAGGTTCATGGTGGGAAATCTGGATAAGAGACAGTTACTCCCCCACCCCTCCATTTTGGTTGCTGTTTCGTTAGTGGCTCTAGTTTTGAAATGTGGTTTTCCAGGAAGAGGGAATTTGGAGTGCCAGCAATGAAGCGAGTTCAGTTAATAAAACCCATTAGCATTGAAGCATTATGAGTGTGGTTTGTATTATATTCGTGTTATCAAAAATTCCATTTCTGAAACAAGGAACCGCCAGCCAGAAGGAAAACATTCTTTTTAACTCCTTCTAAAATGCGGCAGGATATGGAGTCAAGGTCTTTTAAGGGTATTGTCGAAGGCTTTCATGGCCAGAATACGATGGCTGGTGTGGGTCTTCCGGGCACAGACTGTGCTCCTGCCCTTTGAAGATGCCGGTCACAGATGCTGGCGAAACATTAGGAACCCAAACTTCCAGAACACGGCCACACACCCCGGGAGACCCACACCAGCCATCTTCTAAGGGTGTTCCTGCACACACCTACTTTTTCTCAGCCAACCAACCCTAGCAATGAAGTTTCAGGAGCCAGAACTACAGCTGAAATACTTCATTTGTGATGGAAATGCTGCTTTAGAACATATACTCTGCTTGGGTGCTACCTAAGATGAAAGCGTGTGACAGGATGGTAGGATCTGTGGGAGAACACCACATTATCAAAATAGCTCTCAATCTCTTCTTAAACTAAAGCCCACATCTTTTAGCTGTTTCTATTTCTGTACATCACAGTGTCTGCATTCACACAACACGCATAATCCAGTTATTGAAGGAACCCATTTTCTAGGTTCATTCAATCTGTGGAATCATGAACTAACCCACACTAGCTGGGTGCGCACACACTCTAAGCCATAAAAACCTAACCAGGGTTAACGCTAACCAAGTGCAGCATGTTGGTGAAGTGGGTTATGCCAGCATAGCCAGTGATTAGCTTGAAGACAAGAAGCAACATATTTTATAACGCACCGATTTATTTTGACATTTGTTCTCCTGGACTCTGTAGACTTGTTCTATCTACAAGTGATCGCGTTGCAATATTTGCTGAGACAGATTAACTCTGCCATCTCTCTATAAAGATAGAAGGTGATTATATACTTGGATTTGTGTCCCAAGAAACAGGTACCTCCAAATTCATGGGATGCAGGCAGAAGTATCTTGTCTTGCAAAGTCCAGATTAGAGGTTCTAACCTGCCAGATTAGAGGTTCTAACCCTAACCCTGGCGGCCAAAATGTGCCCAAACAGAGTGGCATTTACCATTAAGGACCGCTGCGCATGGCAGAGATCAAACTCAGGCTAGTAACCTTGTTTGTATCTTCTCTGTATTACTAAAAAAGGAGCACTGAGTATTCATTAAAGTGTACAAAACACATCTCTTGGGAGCACGGGGGGTGGGGACAGGTTAATTTGGTTTCTAGGTTGAACCCAACAGCCAACAACATAGTATTATTTCTATTTAAAGGTTTCTCATGATGCTTTTGTGAATAACGTTTTTCCTTCTTTCTCTGCAGCTTATATAACGAATACTGACAGTGCATAAAAAAATCTAGCGGTGTGTGCAGGATAAGCCGTCACCCGATTTATTTGTTAAACCTGAATGCTAAAATCTTGACAGGAGCTATGGCGGAGAAATTACAGAGAGTATTATTACATTTGATCGTTCATCCTGTGCAGCTTTAGTGTTCTCAAAGGGCAATAAGCTTCAGAATACATTACTTGTTAATTGCTATTTTAGAAATACAGTCAGAAGCTTTACTTGGCAGCGGTGGCTTCTCCGAATGAGTAAAAAGGGCTTGACGTGGTGCAATTTAAGTTTTTGGAACGTGTGTTGGTGAAAAGCCGATTACCTTCTGTTTCGGTGGATCGGATTAAAATGTGGCATTTTAATCCGTAAACTCTAATTACAGATGGAATGATTTCTTCACCTGTCGAGATGTTCTGTGAGATCTGTCCCATGTTTCATCTTATATTTAATGTGGTGTGGAACGTTAGACAGTTGAGGGATACTTGACTAGAACGGTGGCCGAGCAAAACTTATTGTTGCGTGCAGATGACAGCATAGGTCCAGCTGATCATTATCCATCTTCTCTACCAGAATTTGTGGGTACTGTTGTTTCATCAACTATTTATAGGTTTATAAACTGTTGGAGGACCAATAGAGGCAAGTGGTGAAGGACATGGATGAGGAACGGAGACACTTTAGTTCTAGTCCTGCCCAGGCACGGAAGATGGCAGGATGGCTTTGGGCCAGTCCCTCTCTCTCGGCCCTAGGAAGAAGACAGCACCAAACCACTTCCAAAAATGTTGCCAGGAAAACAGCGGGGATTCATCCATGTGGTCATTAAGAGTCAAGGCTGACTCAAATAGAGTTTGGTATAGTGGTTAAAGGCACCAGACTAGAAACCGGGAGACCGGGAGTTCTAATCCTACCTGAGGCACGAAGCCAGCTGGGTGACCTTGGGCCAGTCACCTCCTCTCAGTCCTAGGAAGGAGGCCAGGGCCAACCCCTTCTGAAAAACCTTGCCAGGAAAACTGCAGGGACTTGTCCAAGCAGTCACCAGGAGTAAAAAAATGGGCTCGAAGGCACCCCCCGCAATCATCATCAATGATCTCTACTAAAATATGTGGATATTATAAAATAATTTGATAAACTATTTGGTTATTCAGTCAGTTGGAATAAGTATAATATGCTTCCAATTGGATCTAAGGTATGTTTGTATGTACTAAGGTATGTATCTGTAAAAAAAAATCGGGATTTTCATTGTCAACGTTTTTAGGTATCTTGGGATTAGTTAATATTTCAAACTCCGTGTCAATATAAAGCAAACAGTTCTGACACCTCTTTTTTCAGAGTTTAAGCATATTCCTGGATAAATGTCTAAAGAATGCTTGGGGTGATGTTAAGTGTGTGTGTGTTGGGAATGTGAATGTGTGTGTACTTTTGTACACACATAATGCCATGTCGATGGTTGACAGCCTGAATGATTTTCAGTGAACGCCAGATTGCACGATACAATGAGGAGTATAAATCTGATCATTAATGGATCAGAGATCAAGGAAGTTATTTTTCACAGGGAAAATGGAGCAAATGATTGCAAATTATATATAAGGGGCAAAAAGCTAGAGCGAGAAGATGAATTTGTGGAACTTGGCAGAATGTTTACTAACGATGGGAAAATGAATACAGAAATTTTCAGATGTGCAGATGCTGTGTGTGGTGCTGGACATTTGTCTGAAAAAGCAAGAAGAGCTGCGCATGAGTGTGTGTTTTGCCCACTTAGTTTTGCAGAGGGTGCTTATGAAGTGAGCGTGCTAAAACAAGGAGGGCGTCCAAATGGGTGCTTGAAGGAATGCGAGTTGAATATATAAATGACAGACCGGTATGAAAGAGGTACGTTGGGTTGGTCGTATAGGAAGAATGAGCAGGGGCTAAATCGCAAAGCAGATACGCAAAGAAAGGGTGAGAGGTAGGCAAAGACAGAGAAAGACGGAGCTGAGATGCTCAGAAAGAAGGAGGAGAACTTTTAAAGGAAAAGACAACACATTTGAAGTGATCTATGGAAACAAAGGGCAATTTGCAAGAATAGAAAGATGGGTACAGGGACTACTTGGGACTGTATCTCCTTTTCCAACCTCTGCTTTTAAAGTCTTACTCCCTTCTGGCACTACGCGTAACAAGGGGAATTAATGTGCACACCCCCCACAGGTTTCCTGGCATCCTGCAGAAAGTTGGGCTTCTCCACCCCCAATTCTTTGCTGCTGCTCCCATTGGCCAAGGCTGGGGAGAACATCTGCTCGAAACATCTGTCGGCCACCAGACTGTTGAGAGCTACAGTACTGACATTCAGACTTTGGTTATTGCTAGCCGATTATGTTCAATGTCAACATTTACCAAATTTTTAAGGTATTATGTCCACCCCAAGAAGCCCTCCCCAAGTCTCTTATTCTGCTCCCTCCCTTGTTTTGCCATCAACAACAGCTTGCAAGAGCAGGCAAAAGATCCATACTCTTCCTGAGTGTGAATAAGAAATTAAAATAGCTGCATCTTCTATCGCAGCAGCTCTGTAATTGGTAGAAACTATATTTATTATTTAACTATTAAAAGAAATCAGGGCCTTGGAGATTGGGGTATTCTTTCTACAGCTGCCAGTCCTGACCTAAGAAACCCGAGTTTTTATAGCCCAAGATTTAAATTCTGTGCTTCTGTGCTGGGGGTTGGGGAGTTTACAGGAAAGAGGTTTCCTACAGGGAAGTTTGGGAGATAAACTACAGCTGATGCTCCCTCCCACCTAAAACCCTCCTGCTCTCTCTGCCTTTTTTTCTCCCAAAAAATACCTGCGCAGCCAAAGACTGAACAGCAGCACCCTCCT